GGTGACGATAGGCCGACTCCCTGAGCAAGGCTGCCACGAGGCTATCATGAGGCTGATAGCCCCCACTTTCAACAGCATTTACATGCGCCGCAATATGGGAATTATGAAGCGGCGTGGCAAGAAGCGAAACGGCGAAGGCGGCAAGTCCATGTTCCTGGGTCACTCCCATCGACGTTTGCCGGAAACAGTTCGAATTGCAGAAGTTTCTGTCGCTGAGCCTCTGCGTATGATTAAATTCTACCTATGCTGACGGCTTCCCGGCACGTTGCCATCTCTGAAACGAAGGTTCTCTCATCTCCACGAGATTGCTTGGAGGCACCACAAACAATGCGTGGTTCTCTGGCTGGCGGACGTAAGTCTTCGGAAGCGTGGGTAGTAATGTCATTCATGGCCCCACGTGAAGCCTTTCGTGAACTGACGAGCTAGTATGTACACCTGCTGCTGCGTCTCTGGGTTGATATACTCGAATTTCCTGCACATATGTTTATGTAAGTGGAGACCTCAGGGTCTTTGTTACTCACGAGGCTTTCCCGATTGGCTTCCTTAAGCGGTAAAATTCGAGAGGCATATCTTCTGGCTGTAAGGGGGTACAAGAATCATTTTTCTTTATATCGATGATGAGGTGAAATCGTCTATCATTCACCCCTCCTAGGTGCACGTAATGGTCTTTTGTCCAGTCGTAATCTTCATCGCCGCTGGAGTAACCAGCGAAACGGAACCAATCCTGAGTAATCTTCTGATGTTCATCGTGCCACTGCTCATGCGCACGAATGATGATACTTTTGGGGGTGTTTGTTGAACCTGATGTCGAAGCCATGAAGTATCGCGGAAAAGGAGGAAAGAAAAACGGCGGTGAATTTCCTGCTGCTATTAATCTTGGCACATTTTTCACCTTAACAGCTTATTCTGGTCTAGCCTAATGTTTCGGCCAATCCCAGCTCTAGAGTCACAGCAAAGCCGTCAACTTAATCAATGGTTCAGGCAGCGACGGAAAATGTTTGGTGACAGAAATCGCCAAGGATCAACATGGGAAGTTTACCCGATGACATGAGGATTGATTCAATTTGGCGGCTGGGGTTCTGCAGACACACAATATATTTTTGTGACCCGTACTTGACCCGCTTTGCCTAGACACTTAGCTGCATCTAGATAAGTCAAAGCTATTCTTGTTGCCAATCAGCAAGGGGTTCAGCTCGGATCACGTGCGATATCTTCCACTGCGATGCGGAGCAAGAGATTACTCAACCCCCTTCTTTATGATCATTCGCTGTGGATCTGTGAGTAGCTCGTTGAGTTTCGAGGCGTTTCCATATGGTCACGTGCCTTGATTTCTGCTTTCAGATATCCACCC